GCGTATATCTATAATTCGACTGTCGATATCTGGTCAAGCGATTCGTATAGTGAAAACGAAAATGGTCGTGCAGCATATCACTATCGGGAGAGAATTAACTTTGTCATACTGACAGACGGGGAATTTGTAGAAAGGTTCTGACTTAGTTGTAACAGAATCTTAGTCCAAGACTCCCGGACCTCTCAATGTCGTGCCTTGAATATATAGTTCGAATCTCCAGTCCAATACTTCAATTTCTGGACTGGTCCGAGACCACTCGAATTTCAATTTCTGTTACCTTTTACTTGTCTTCCTATAGGAGGTAGACTCGCGTAGAAGTTGACATAAAGTAGTCTAATCTTGACTCATTGAAACACTTATTTTACGCGGAACGATGCTTCCTCTGTTCTTCAAGTAATCGGAGAATGTGGTAAACGCCCGAATGAATACTTTCGGGACCCTCGAACTCAGTTAGCTGCAGTTAATGAAATTAATGGAACTCAAGTTAAAGGAGTATGATTTTTATTAATAATTGAATTACAGACTCAAAATATCTATACACTCGTGATGAGTGAAGTAGCAATGACAAAGAACAGTTAACTTCGTCAAACTAATAGGCTGGGGAAAGGATCACTGGAGGAGTGAATTACGACTAAGTTAAAAGGAACGGTGACAACTAATTTACAATAAATTTAAGAACCTAATAGCAAAATTAAACTCAAGAATGTCAATTTTACAATGCTAATTAATCAAGCTAATGCATGGAATCCTTAGTTGACTAGGTGTTAGTTTAGTTTTAGCGAGAAAGGCTAATAAAGAAGGGAAAAGCCCCCTTTTAAGTAACTGGAAGTGTTTACTGATGACAACACAACTTACACAAATTCTGCCAATGCAACACTTATTAATAGCCACTAACTGAGGGAAAATCGAAGCAACTTTTTCAACCGTATAAATCAAAGATAAGAGAAGAACTGAAGTTTTTAGTTTCAAAATTATCGGGGGTCAGCGGATTTTTCCCTCTATCAGAATGCTGGTCACTTTTCTTAGTGAGTTCAACCCTTGTCTCCTCATTGGTCGATCAGTTTACAACCCTTGCAAAGGTCGCCTGAATCTCTAAAGATGGAAAATAACTTGGCCAATGACTGTTAGACTTAATTTTTGAACTCAAAATGGCCTTAAACTCTATTGGTTAATTACGTTCCCTTGTCCCACCTCAAGGAGTGTCATCAGTGTACAGTCTTCCCTTAAGTTTACGCAACACGCCCCCTTCAGTGGCGTCTCCTGGCTTTAATTGCTTTTGGGCAAACCCTGCAGTTTTCAATAATTTCAATGGATTGGGAATTCCTGTAATGCTGAGGCCACAATTCGAGATGTCCTCTTAATTAATTATAAAATTATACATAGCGTTTAGGTAAAACTAACGGTGACTCTCTTCTGGAATTTTTAATGTATTTTAGCAAAGTTAGCTTCGTTGGAACTACGCAGTCTTTCGTTAGTTTCACCTGCCCCTCTCTAATGATAGTTTCCAAACCGCATCTGTCAACGCGTACGTTGACAGAAGGTAGAATCGTATCCAGCCTGGCGCACCTGCTCCTATCAGCTAGGGGAAAATTCTACTAAAAACCTAGCTGTTTGTCTCCTCTTTTTCATATTTTCCCACAATTATGACATTTTTTTAGTAATATGCTAGTCTTCGGAAGTCTTAGATATCCCATGATATGCCTCTGACGCGTGACCGTTCAGCGCTCGGGGTAGTTTATAACATCTGCTAACCAAATGGTTGAGATTCAAATTTCTCAGCACTCCTTTGATTGTAACTTTATAGTTATAGCAACCAAATGTTATTACAGAATAGATCTCCAAACCATGTTTTTGTCCCGGCATATTTGAAAAGTCCAACTTTATAGCATCCGGTTCTATTATCTATTTTCTTCAAAATATGAATTTGGTTTCCCTTGTCGTTCACTGGGTGGTTTGCAGATGCGAGTGTTTGTTCTGCCCTTAGTTTTTATGTTTATTTCTATTTTATGGATGCGACGAATCTTTACAAGGGTAGGCGGCATGACGAATTATTTCAACGAATTTAGAAATTGATAACTTGGTCAACAACAGCGTGAAAGTCTTCTTCAAGATATAGGTCAGCCATAGCGAATATAACGATTCGATGGTATGGAGGGCAATACCATGGAGTATGTGATATGCATGGAGTATCAAAAATGACCGTATGCAGATGTATTCACGAAGTTACTGCTGCCGTAAACGAAATAAAATTTGATGTATTAGTTCGATGGCCTGACAATACAGGGAACGTAATAGAACGTTTTCATAATTTGGCAGGATTTTCTGAAGTTTGTGGAGCTGTAGATGGAATCCTCATAAATATCGATGCCGCCACAAACAACGAACCTGTTTACGTCGATCGCCATGGGAAGCATTCCATCAACTGCATGGCTGTATGTGGGCCTGACTTAAGGTTTTATTATATAAGTGCAAATTGGCCCGGAAGTGTGCACGACGCGCGGGTACTCCGTAACAGTTCTATGTTTCGTAGAATGGAAAACGGTTGGAGACCTCATGCAAATGCTGGCATTCTTGGAGATTCCGCTTATCCTTTGCGTGAATGGTTAATTCCACCAACCTATGACGATCCGATGAACCCAACGCATTCAACAGAGCTCATAAACGGACTTGACGCATTATTGAAAACGCTTTTGGCGTATTGAAGGAAAAATTTCCATGTTTGAACCACCTACGAGTTAATCCAGCCTTCGCAGCAAATATTTTTTTAAATGTTGTGCAACATTGCGCAACTTTAAAAATATTAATGAAGATGATAATATGGTATTAAATGGTGATGATGATGATCAAGGTGACGAAATCAACCTCAGAGATAACGAAGCACCTCCACTAGCAGCTCGAGCTAGAGTTCAACAGTTTATAGATTATTTTAGGATAAATAATTATCGTGAAGAAGAAAAATCAACTTTAATTAATTAAATATGTAAGAGAATATGATTTTTTTTACAAAACTAAATATTTAAATATGTGGCACGCTGGTCCTCTCCATAAGAAATGTAGTCTCTTGCAAAACTTTGTGTAAATTCGGATCTTGGAAGGTTCAGTGCAGTTTCCAACTATAAACTCTCTAGTTTGGTCTTGTGATTTTGCAGTTTCAGGTGTTCAATTTGCAAGTCAAGTTTTACTTTTTTCTTGTCTTCAATTTCTTCTTCACGTGTCAGGCTACGCTTCTGTTTTCCTAAAAAATGTAAACTGTGTGGTGATAATTGGCACAAAATTTTCTTATTTAAATGTGACCATTTAGGATCCGCTTGATTAGAGAATTAATTTTACCATATTTTGATTTTTAATACAACAAGCAGGCCTTGACAGGAACATTATTTTTATTTGCTATGTGGATGTGAACTATTAGATAAATAATTACTTAGTGTTTGTTGAATAAATAAAAATACATAAAACATTTTAATTAGTAGTTTCTCACAAATCAAACTGCAAAAAAGCCATTGTACACTGATAGTTATGGAATTTGGTATTATATCATTTTGAATTCTACACAAGTTTTTTAAGTAAAATTTCTAAATATTTTGCAGAGAAGAGGTACTTTACCTACACAGCAAATAAAAATAATGTTCCTGTCAAGGCCTGTTTGATCTATCAAAAATGAAAATACGGTAAAATTAATTCTCTAATCAAGCGAGTCTATAGATCCCAAATGGTCACATTTTTTAATCAGAAAATTTTGTGCCATTTATAAGTACTAGTAATGCTCGGCTGTTCTATTGTTGTGCTGTCTTCAGGTAGCGGTTCTGCATCGTCCACTTCGTCCGATGATTCTGGTACCCCAAGACCTACAATCACTGGGGACTCTTTTCCTAATATATCTAAACTGTATCCATCGAAGAAACAAAGTAAAATCAAACATATACACCCGTATTGCACGTGATCAAGAACTTAACCGTAGGAGACGCTACAGGGCCGTATCAAGCTATTGTGACTGATCTATCAAAAAATGTCGTACAAGATATGTGTTGCTGTAAATTCTATCAAAAGCATAGTAAATTATCAGGAATATACCACGCCTTTCTAATCATATTTCGACATTAGGAATCAGTGCAAAAAATTGTGTATTCACCATTTCAGCAAAATGTTACTAAAACGCACACGAAAAAAACTTGTGGACCATCTCAATTGAAATTGTTCATATTTTATTATTAACTTACATATATACCCAATAATATTTACAAATCAACCTTCTATTCACAATGCAGAGCAAATTTTTTTGAGCAAATAGAAACTACAGACGTAGTAGTAGTAGTACAAAAGTTTATTACAGACTCCATAAAGTTTGTTAGTTTGATTGCTATTCAAATTTACATGAGAAATAGGAAGAAGGTCAAAATGGCACTATTATGCTTTGGAACTCCTAAATTAACCTTAATTTTGTGTAATTATAAATTTGGAATTTCCACATTAATAACTAGAAACTTACACTTTGATTGCAGTCTATAATGAACTTACCTGTCTTGCCAAAAAGCCCGTTAAACTGTCAGTCTTAATGGTATCAATCGATTTATATGCTGTATTCCGAGGAGCTTGAATCATCAGAATTGTTGATGTCAATTATAAGGGGTTCAACTTGGGTGTCAATGATATTGTCCATATCCCACATTTTGGTTTCAACCTTCTCTTGGACATGGTCAATACATGTTCTCCATTTTGCTGGCGTAATTCTATCGACAGCAACATCAAACAGTTTTTTAAGGTCAGAAAACTTAAAAGTGCTGTTATTTGACGCCACGTATTGCTTGATGTCGGCCCAAATCAACTCGATAGGATTCAGTTCGCAGTGATAGGGAGGCAGCCTGAGAATCGTTTTATTTTGGTTTTTGGCCATTTCGTCAACAATTTTTAAATCATATTTATACTTATGTCGCTTGACTATATTTATCAGCTCAGCTTTGACCATTGTTTGGTCGAAGTCGATCTTCTTTGAGACAAGCCACTGTTGAATGTCTGCCTTTTTGGTGGCCATTGTTGGAATTTTTTCCAATTTTCTGGAGTGGTACGGGGCATTATCCATCACAATAATTGCGTTATCATCAAGTGTCGGCAAAAATTTTTTGAACCAATTTTCAAATGAGTTACCATCCATTTCTTCGTGATAGTCTCCAGTTTTTTTGGATTCAAATGCCCACAATGCTTCAGGAACAAATCCATCTACGCTACCTATGTGGCAAATGATCAGGCGTTTTCCCTTGCCTGAAAGTAATTAGTTATTTTACTTCTCAGCGAGCGCACTAAATGACGAAATTAAGCAACTTACTCTTTTTAGGTTAGTGTAGGATAGGGTCTTAGATTAGTTTTTGGGTGAAGGAAATACTCAGAAACTTGGATGAGATAGCAAAACTGAGTTCGGAGCTTCCAAATCATTGATTCGATCAGAAAATGAATTATCTGCATCCAAAAAAGTTCATATACTTCGAAACTTACCTGCAGGATTTTTCAATCCCGTCGAAAGGCCATCTAAAAAAGCCTGCTTTGAGGACCTCACAGATCTGTCTACCCAAACCTTTCCCTGCGTATGCCCCGCGTTCACCCATGTTTCGTCTAAATAATAAATTTTTCTTCCTTCAGCGCGGAATTGCCTAATTTTTCTAAGGTATTCTCTCCTCCAGATAACAATTTCCTCCTTTTCTATCAATAAACTATTCCTTCCTGTTTTCAAAAATCGAAAGTCTAGTTCTTTCAACAGCTTATGGAACGTAGATCTTTTAAAATTTGGCAGGTCCTCATCATCATTCACTTGCTTCAATATTTTATCTATTGTAGGTATTTCATTCCTGAAGAAAAAGTGATGTACTTTTCTTCTAATGGCACTTTTGTCAAAGTCATCTATTTTTTCGATGATTTTTTTTCTCGCTGGATATGTTTTTGGCTCAGATAGTGAGTGATTTTGTCTATATTCCTTCAAGATTTTGTAAACACTTGATCGACCTACTCCAGAAATTTCAGCAACCTTTCATACGATATTTTCTATAGCCAATCCACTATTCTCTTGCATCTGGTTCTTGTAGATATTTAGAATAATTTGTTTTTCACCTGCGCTTTTTAGCCCTTTTTCTGGGTGACGTTAAGCTGATTTCAACCACTTCATCAGCTGTATCTGTGTCAGACATTTTATACTAATATTAAATTTCCGTAAGAAAAATCAAGTCAAGTCGTGCATAAAACGTTCGCGCTCATAAACGGGTATCCGTAACTGATTACAATCCTGTGCGTGGTGACGAACCATCAACGTGACGCTGAGAGTTCCCTCTACTATGCAGCGTTGCCAGGCTTAATGTCACAATGATCATGTTTTATTGGGAAAATTGTCAGAAATCGCCGAATGTTGAACAGAAACATTACAAGAAGTTTGAAGGCTACAAATCGATATCCTTATAGGGGGGAAGGGTAGGGAGCTGTTATGGTTCCTATTAACCTTGGTGAAAGTTGGAAACGGTAATATCATATATGGCATACATTCGGTTGAAGGTGTGTGCACGGAAAATAGATTGCGGATAGGATTTTAATAGATAAATCTGCACAAAAAAACACAAAAGGAGATTTTTGTATTTCCCTGAAGAATATCTCAAGGTTATTTCAGATGTACTCATCGAAACTTTATGGAAGGATTATCGAAACCTTATTTTCAATTGCGATAGGGCCACATACCTCGACATCGCATTAATGTGAAAAATAAGACAATAGAAAAAAATTCCCTCACTGATGCTATCTCTTAGGAAAGGAAAAATTTAACTATAAATATTGCACAAAAATTTTCTTCACCTTTTTGAGCTTGTTTTCGAAGTATTCTCCACGAAGATTAATACACATTTGCATGAGCTCGAACCAATTTTCGAAGCACTTATTCCACTCGTTTGCTGGCAGATCCAAAATGGCATTTTTGAATGCATCAACTGCTTCTTCTGGTGACCGGAACCTTTGGCCACACAGTCTGTTTTTAACTTTCGGGAAAGTAAAGAAATCGTTAGGACTTAGATCGGGGCTACTAGTATATGGAGGATGGTCCAATAATTCCACGTTTTCTTCCGTTAAATACTGCCTTGTTTTTTGAGCTGTGTGCGAGCTTGCGTTGTCTTGGTTGAGGATGATTCTTCTTTCGGGGTTGATTTTTCGAAACTCGGTGATGACTTTTGACAAACAAATGGTGGTATACCAATCCGCAGTAACAGTTCTTTGCTCATTAAGAGGAATTGTTGCAATATGACCCGCTTTTGACACAAATGTCGCGACCTTCTTTTACGAAACACTTCGAGAACGGATTACTTTTGTTGGCTTTTCTTCACCTTGGAACACCCAAACAGCCGTCATTTATTTTCTGGTTGGTAATAGTAAATCCACGATTCATCACCACTAACAATGCTGTACACATTTTTTGAGTTTCCGGAATTGAAACGGTCAAGCGTTTTTTGACACCATTTAGCACTGGCTGCTTTCTGCTCTTCAGTCAACAGGTGGGGTATCCAACGAGAAACTAATTTTCTTACTCCTAATTCTTCATGTAAATTTTTTTGAATTGAGGTCTTTGAGATCTTCATGGACGCCTCAATCTCGCGATATGTCATATGTCTATCTACAATGATGAGTTTGCGCACAGCATCGACGTTTTCCTGGGTGACTGCCGTTTTTGGTGCACCCACCCTGGAATCGTCGCTAAGACTCACCCGTCCACGTTTGAATTCTCCATACCAACGGGAAATTGTCGACTGATGTGGCGCTTCGTCGCCAAAAACAGACAGTAACTCAGCAAGGCATTCTTGTTGCGATAATTGTCTCTGAAAGTTGTAATAAATTATGGCGCGAAAATGTTCTCGGTTGAGTTCCCTTTTTCTAATGACTTGGTGACACTTAAAAATATTCACTTTAGTGTGAAACTTTGAATTTGAGTTTACTAAAGAGTGAGGTTAAGATTCACTACTGACGTTCGATCCGCGCGGCCTACTATGTTTCTATATGCAAAACTTAAAAGACATCCCTCGTACAAGTGTAGAATATTTTACTTGTAGCCACAAGTATATGAAATTCCCTTGTGTTACGAGAAATTAGGATACTTGTAGCTATAAGCGAATTACTTGTAACTTGTACACTTGTTACAATTGTAAGATTTGTGTTATAGGCCCCAGGTCTCTCGTCAATAGAGGAAGTCGTCGCTAGTCTTCTTTTTTCAAGCTCATCGCCAGAGGTTGACTTGTCACTCCGAATTCCTACATGTAGAGTGCTGATGTCAGCAAAGCTGTGGATTTGATTTTGATCAAAAGATACCCTTCTAAGTACATATTAGGTAAGCCGATAAACAATTTGCAAAGAGATACTATCCGTTTCCCGTTTTTTCACACGCCAATTGAAAAGGAAGTACATATTGTGGTCGCGAGTAATTCCGCTTCCTCATTTCCGCCAGTATGTCTGTCACCCAATCTTTGGCTCCCCTACAACTTCGGACGAAAATAATTCCTCGCATTTAAGTAATATTTTGACACAGTGGAAATTGCTCTAATGACGGTGGAGCTAAGGGAAAATAATAAAAAAATAACAGTGGCTCGAACTGCTCTTTTTGACGTTTTAGTGGTGCCTTTACATTTTTAGCAGTTTTTTTGATTGGTTGTAAGTATTGCATCTTCGAGGTTTCAGTGAAAGACGTTCTATTTTTAAGAAGTTTCTCATCCCGGTAATATTACGCACCCGTATTGAAACAAAAGTATGATAGACTTGTTTTCTATAGTTTGAGTCGTAGGGTCCTAAAATATATCGTACTTGACTGTACTTGCCTAAGATCAGATTCCAATCGGGTACTTTGAATCGATTAGATGCATTCTTTTTTGGTATGCTACAAAGGTGCTGAGAGGGGTTTCTTTATTCTACTTTCGCTTTAGCAGCTACTATTACATACTATTACTCCACGTTATATAAAGAATATTAAAAAAAAATGGGAATTTAAATCTCTGTTTTGAATTATAGTTCCTATATCATTAGGTTTGCAGGCAAACCGAACATAATCTAATTGATAACAGAATTGTGTGGTAAATACACGACCAAGTCAACTAACTTCAGGCAATTTTTTCTTTAAGTAACAGGGATACCCTCATCGATATTGTGGAGCTTATTTTTTGAATTTTTGGATATGAATGCCACCCAAAATAAGATTCTATCCAAAAATCGCAATCTTAAGGTTGATACTACTCCAAAGAAACTTAATAGACTGCGTTCCTGATACTGTCTTTTGTGAAAAAGTTTCATGCTCCGTAAGCACAGGGTGTCCCGTTGTAAATTGAAATCTCTTTAACTTTTCTGCATGACCATTAAAAAAAATATTCAGAAGTCCAATATAAAGTTTTTCATGCAATGACCTCTTGATACAGGGTATCTCAGAAAAGCGCTATAAAATGAAATGAATATATATATCAAAAAGTAGGAAAATAACGGGCAAAATCCGCAGAAAGGATGAAAGTGGATTCGAGCAGAAAATAGGATAGGTAACCCGAGCGATATTCTGCTCGAATCCACTTTCATCCTTTTTGCGGATTTTGCCCATTATGTTCCTACTTTTTGTTATATACCTTTCTCCGCATTTGCTCTTTGTAGATCCTTTAGGCTTAAAGTACCACAACAAGTGGCTATAACCGGCCGCGTGGTTGTGGTTAGATGTCTAATTGAAAATTCGAGGTCTTCTAGCCATTTTATATTACATCTTCGTTTCCCCAGGTTACATCCGTATCTGGATGTGTGGACATGTGTATCTACTTTTGTAGTTGCATATGTACATTATTTCGGGCCTGATGAAACCAATCAGCAGAAATACCTATCGCTCGGGTTACCTATCCTATTTTCTGCTCGAATCCACTTTCATCCTTTCTGCGGATTTTGCCCGTTATTTTCCTACTTCTTGTTATATATACCTTTCTCCGCATGATCATTTTCTCTTTATATACCTATATATATACTAAGTGACATATAAATCCGAACACCCAGTTTAAATGGTTTTATTTTAATAAAAGTTGGTGAATGTAGTTATTTCACTGTAAATAATAAGTGAAAAAATTTTCAGCCTTATCAGTTGGACATTCCGGTTTTTATACTGCTTTTTTTTTATTCACTAACGCTCTAAAAATGAATATTTCAGCCCCAGTAAAGAATCAACGTTGGCGGATTTTGGTTCTTGACATCCTTTACGATCGGTTACGAAGCCTAGAGTACGGAGACTTGTACGATTTCGTCAACTTAGTGAGTTTGATAGGGGCCGTATAGTGGGACTTCGGGAAGCTGGACTTTCTTTTCGGACAATTGCAGTTAGAGTGCAAAGAAGTGTAGACACTGTGGTTAGGTGTTGTCAGGCATGGCTTCGAGAAGGCGGTACGCAAAGAGCAAGGGGCACTGGACGCCGCCGTAGAACAACAGACCGTGAAGATCGCCGCCTAAGATTATTGGCCTTAAGGGACCGTTTCTCCACTACCAGGTCCATTGCAAATTAATGGTTTGCAGAACACGGAACACCTATTGGCATGCGAAGTGTTTACCGACGAATGAGAAGTTTTGGCTTGTTTTCATACCGGCCACACTGGGTCCTCCCTTTAACTCGAGAACACCGACGTAATCGCCTTGAGTGGTGAAGACAGCGGTCACTCTGGAATCAGGAATGGAACAGTATTGTCTTTAGTGACGAGTCTCGATTTTGTTTAGGCATGCACGATGGTCGTGCCAGGGTTAGAAGGCGACGTGGTGAAAGGAGGAATCCACAGTTTTTTGTTGAAAGACATGTTCATCACACTCTTGGAGTTATGGTTTGGGGTGCTATAGCTTATGGTTCCAGGTCACCTTTAATCTTCATCAGAGGTAACATGAACGCGCAGCGTTATATCCACGAAGTTCTAGAACCCCATCTTTTAGGGTGCATCCACACATTATTAAAGGTCAAAGGGCTTTGAAGCAGTGCAATCATTTTGAAATTTTTATCATTTACTTATTATGCTTCATTAAGCACGTATACAAAATTTTATTAAAATAAAACCATTTAAACTGGGTGTTCGGATTTATATGTCACTTAGTATATATATATATATATTTTAAATAGAACAAACAACGTATTTTTCTAATTTGCGATTTTTATAATTCCATATATATATAATATTTGGTCTGTTCTACTGATTTTTATCGCTCCAGTCAAAAGCTTAAATTTTGTGTATCATTTATTGCGTCTAATATCTGCAATACTCACTGTAGTATGTGTGAATACATATGATTGACACAAAATCTAATTTTTCGGCTATAATAATAAAAGTAAGAATGTATAACTAATATACATCAAATATACAGCATGTTCTATTTAAAGAAATACAATTTTATTCGATAACAGAAAAGTGAAACATCCTGTACATAAAAAATACATTGCTCGAAAAACTTTAGAACCTCTTTTTTCTAAGCGGGCTTACAAAAAAGTTGGACGTTTCGAAAGTTTTTGATTTTTTTTATGTACTGCGAATGTCTTTACTCATATATGTTTGTTTTTTTTTAAAATAGAGTTAGGAACGTATCATCTTTTGTAAAGAATTGAGTCAATCTACTTGTACCAATTTATTTCCTATTCATACAAAGAAAATTACAGATGTTCTGCCAAATAAACATGCGCGCATTCAATTTCAGATGAAACCATATATCCGGGGTATATTTGTCCCTGTTTACAGAGACTGCACCAATGTTCTATATACATACATGTATATGTATCGATGTACTGTGGTGAGCTTTACGATCAAGGCAAAGGAAAATCTTTGTGAGACCGCCTTTGACAAACCTCCACGATCTGGATTTTTACCAAAGACAGTTCAGAGGGGAATTCACCGATAAAAGCACGTTAATGTAATCTTTTTGTCTAATGTCGAGATCAAATATTGCTTGATAAAGACCCAGAGCTTGTACATATTTTTGCATGCGATATTCCAAGAATAAAAGGCTTTGGAAATATGAATCAATACCTTTACGAAGATGAAATAAGAAAGGGCTTTGCAAATTACTACGTTTCATAAACTCTGTAAGTGTCAATTCAGAAACGTTTTCCACCTGAAGCTACCCGACCATATATTGTATTACGGCGTCCAAAAATGGATTTGAAGGGACTAACGTAGCAGACCCAAACATTCTAACTCTTCTCAAAGTGGATTTCTATATTCATTTTGTGTGTGTGTGGGTGTATTACGCTACTATTTCGAAGATGACACTAGTATCATACAAATCGTCTCAGGTGTAATACATTATTAAACATCTTTGTTTGAATATGCTCGTTTTTGTTTCCAACGGGCATCTGCATAAGTCCTTCGGGAATTAAAGAGTACACATATAGCAGAATAACCATAAATCAGATGCCCCTCGAGAGAAGTAGGGTTAATATTTTTACCACGAAATCACATTAATTTATATCAGTTATTGTTTTTTTTTTCAGTGAAATAATAATAAATTTAAAGTATAACGTCCAAGGCTTTGGAATTTTTAATTTTAGAAATATCTTTAGTTCAATTCTAAACATTATAATTTACATTAAGATGCTAATGAAATTAAGTTGGTAATGTTTCAAATTTTGAGTTGTAAGTGATAGCTGTAGCTCCTAAAATACCAATAATAGAGTCCTGTCATCGATTTTTTTTAACGTTCGACTAGATTTTCGTTACTCCTATCATATATGAAAAAGCCTCGGTCCCCACTACTCTGCCATTTCACTATATCTACGTGGACTGTAAATTAATCTACGAGGCTGATCTTTTAAATTTTTGTTTGTTCAAATATAATTAATTTTATACTGTCACCCTCAAAATAACTTCCTTCTGAAGCCACACAGCGCTGGAGACGGTTCTTCCACGCCTGGTGGCACTGCTGGAACTCCGACACCGGAATAGTCTTCAGCTGATTAGTTACAGCCGTTTGAATGTTTTCGACTGTCCCAAAATGAGTCACAAGGAGTCAAGTCGGTCAATTAAAGGAGGCTGAGGAGCCACAGGGATGTATTTACTTGCAGAAAAACTTGTTTAATGCATTGCTGTGTGACTAGGAGCATTATCGTGATACAAAGCCCAGTTATCCTTGATGTTCGGTCTCATATGAACGGTGTTGTGAGTCAAATTTAACTCTTCTTCGATCTTCTGACTGTCAACCGACGATCTGAACGCACAAAATCCTGGATTCTGTGGATATTTTCTTCGGTTATTGAAGATGAATGCCTTCCGCGTCGAGGATCATCTTCAATCGACTCTCACCCCTCTGAAAAACCGAAACTGGGCTCTTGGCGTATCACTATCTCCGTAGGCCTGTTTAGCAAGAGTCTCCGTTGCATAACCAAATGACTCGTATTTTAGCCCGGGAATAATCTGTATAGAGTTTCACAATTTTAGTGAATGCGTATACATGTTACGGAATACGCATTCACCATTTTCGTCAGTTCATGTTTTGTCTCCTTTCCTGTCAAAAAAAACCTAATTCAGTAATTCAGTTTACAACTTTTCAAGCTGTACACTGCAGCATCGTAACCATCATATCGAGTGAAAATTTTCCCATTAAAACAGTTTTAACAAGATTGCTGCTGAGACATTGCTTGCACAGTGAATTTTTTACGACTTCTTTAATATTCAAAGACAAGCGCGCCATTGCAAGATAATAAGCCTTTATAATTTAAAACTTTATTGAGGGTTATACGTAGTCAGTTTCTGTGGTTTTATGGAGAGCTACATATAAGTACCATTTCTCACTCTAATTAAAACAGGTTTTATTGACTTATGAGGCATTGGCATTGGCATCTCTTCAGTAAGGTTTGAAAATTTTGTATTCACTCGTAATTCACAGAAAATGATCTACCAGCTCTAATTAAGCATATGAAAGGTTGACTCAAATATGAGCATCTGTACATATATTTTCTAAAAAGGAACTGCTATGGGCGAGCAGAATCATACGGTTTGTTGAAGCCTGGCACTCCGTGTTCTAGCACAGATGGAGTGGATGTTTCTGGATCAACAAAGTGGGCATCTCTACAAAGATCGCTGGAGAATTGTATAATTGTCCAGGATACCTTAAGTTATTTTGTAGAGATGGCGGATTTTATGGTTATGGCCCAAATTCTTCACTATACGGAGTTGAATTTTTTTGAAAAAATCATTTTGACTTTCTGACAGGGTGTTGCTGCCGCCATCTTGAAGACACCATTTTCAAAACTCAAAGACAAAATGGCATAGACTGCTTACTCTGAGATTAAAAACATTCTTTGTATGTTAGATGTCTTTTACTTCTTACTCAACTGGGCGAGGAGGTATTGTAATCGCGATAAAATAACGAAAATGAGATATTGTGTTTTTTAGATGTTATATGACATGTATAATATGAAAAAAGATGCCAGTCATTTCCGTCTGGTTGTCAGTCTGTCGGTCTATCTGTCTGATTCTACGTCCGCTAATCCTTGGCCCGTCAATAAGTTGAGAAGTACCGCTCGGATTTTGATGAAATTTTCACACAAAGACGAATAACCTTTATAGTTTTTGAGAATCAGTCCATTGGCGGCAGAAAAAATACCAAAAACGAAAAAAAAGGAATTACCTAACCTTCGTTTTTTGACGTTTCAGACGGTCTGGATCATTTTTGGAAAATTGAAAAGTGGTAAAAATTGGGGGGTAGGAACCCTAGGGAGGTGGGGGACTGTATATCGCAATATTTGGAAGTTAGTATATTAATACGGTAATTCTACGCACCTATTAGACATATTTCACACATCACAGATTCCCCGTTC